CTTTTTAGTATTTAAAAATTGGAAAATCAAATACACTAAAATAAGTGTGATCTGAGTGCAATGGAAGAGTGTAAGAAATACTCCGGGAGGAAGCCAGTACAAAGTAAATAGCGGCACGCACCAGGGCAGCCGGTGCGATCATGCGTTTTGTCCAATTCCATTCAACGATTGATTGCTTGTTAGTGTTGAAAAATAGTAAAAAATTCCACGCACCGATACGTGAAAGCTGAATTTGAAACTTCGAGGAGTGAATACCTTTTCAAAATTTCAGTCTCCTAATTTTCTGGCTTTCGAACAACTTTCACTTGGTCTTACGTACGACCATCATACTTGGGAGCTCCTGATTAAGCAAGAAACATTCTCCTGAAACTTTCACCCTCCTAACTTTTCTGGCTCCCCAGATAATGATTTTTCTCGCCAAAACTTCCTCGAGGATGTTGAAAATTTGCGAAGCTGCACCAGTTGCTGATGCCATGTTAAAATTTCAGCTTCCAAGATTTCATGGTCCCCGGGACAATAATTTACCCGCAAAAGTTTTCAGGAAGCTATACATGGTACCCAGCGATGTGTGGAGGCTGAATCCGTATTTGCGGGAGTCGTGCATTGACAGGGGACATCGCCTTAAAATTTCTGATTCCCAACTTTCTTGGGTTCCGAGATAATAATTTTCCCCGCCGAAACTTTCATGGGGCCGTAAGTGATACGCTGACGCGCGGCAACGCTGAATTTGAATTTACAAAGTTGTACGTGGGCAGGAGGCAATTGCCCTAAAGTTTCAGCTTATTAAACTCGGTAGTTCCTGAGACAATATTTTACCCGTCAAAATTTTCACGGGGCCGTAGGTAATATCCGAGGGCGCAGGAACACAGAATTTGCAGGGTCGTACGTTGGCAGGGGATCAATACCTTAAAATTTCAGCTGCATAGACTCCGTGTCTCCCGAGACAAAATAATTTACCCGCCAAAACTTTTACGAGGCGGTACGTGTTACTCGCAGGCAAGGGAAGGCTGAATTTAAATTTGCGGCGTTACATTTGCGTGGGTAACGTACCCCTAAATTTTCAGCTCCCTGGCTTTGCAGTTCCCAAGTTGAAAGTGGCGGACAAGTTGCTGCAGACACACACACAGACACACACACACACACACATACAGACAGCTCCGTGACAATATGCGTTTTGTACTGCTGTTACGCAGCAAAAAAACGCATAAAAAGGAAAGAGAAAACGAAGAAAACATTTCAAAGCGAGAAATGTGCTAGGATTCGAATTGCAGTTTTTAATAATTACATTTTGCTGCTGGGATTTCGTGTGCATTTCGTTTTCTAGGTTCGAATGCTTGGTAATGTTAGCAGAAGCCGATCCCAGTTGTCTATCAGCAAACAATGATTGGCAGTTAGCGCCATTATCCGTCGCATATCTCAAAGGTTTGTTCTCTTTTACCCCACAATGCGCCTAAACTGAAAATGTTCAGTTTCATTGGATGTGTGGCTCTATTTCTTCTTTTCACTTTCAGGGCATTACGGAATTGTAGAATGGCTCGTTGATGGCCCCTGTTCAAGCATTGTTGATGTAAATTGTCGCGATCAATCCGGAGCCACACTGCTTTCTTCTGCTATCAAATTTTACGATTGTTTTGATGATAAAAATATCTTAAAGCAGTTGCAGTTTCTCATTGGTATGTTACGATTTATTTACAAAACCATACATTTCTGGTGCTTCGAATTCGAGGGTACTAGTGAAAGAGATGACGTAATTGCAGTTGACTGGATGGAACACCGGGTTTCCAGCATCTGCGGCTTCCCAAGTTTAAAATTTAGTATTTCGGGCAAAAAAAAAAGAAAGTTTTGATAGACAAAAACCGTCTTTCATACTTTAAAAAATGGTTTTCCGTATTTCACGGGAGTTAAGTCCGGACCACTTCCGGAATGGTTTTTGCTTCGGTTGTCTGAAAATCATAATGACTCAAAAAATTCGACCTCAGCAATTCTTGGAAAAAGTAATTATGCCGTTTTTTGAGATGACTGTATGAGTCTTTCTCCCTCAGATCTCCTCCGGTGTCCCACTGTGGTGCAAATGTGTTAAGCAGTTGAATGTTGCTGAAGTCTTATCACGCGGGTAGTATATGCTTGATCAGTGTTGCGCCAGGTAGTTCGTGCAGAAATAAGTGAACGCATTTTTTTGTTTCACTGGATATTTTAGTATCACAGCTCAATCACTGTCCCTTTTTCCTTGCTGAAGCAACTGGCGTTGTGCTGCAACTGTTCTTTCTATGTTCGGTGAGGTGCTTCCAGGAAAAGGCGCTAACTGTTCGCTAAAAGACGCACGTCTGAATTCTCCATTCCATTATTTCTGTTGTGTGCCCTGTAAGCTGTTCGTGGAAGACACAAAGGACAGCGTCGATGAGGATGAAAACAAAAAACGCCTAACAAAAGATGAATATCGTCGTTGCGTCGATTTACTACTGGCAAGTGGAGTGAAACTTATGGACAAGAATGACGAAGGTTTGAAATTTTTTATTAGAAAATTCGTAGAAGCTTGATGATGAAACTTCGATTTGAAAAATTACTTTGTTAACTTGGGTATTAGTAGTGCATTAATGCACCAATAAATAGCTTTAACTATATGTATATATACATAAATATAATTTCAAGACAAGATCATAAATCGGGGGGAAAGTGTCCTTTTTTTAACCACGTTGTTCGGGTGTTATGGTAGTGAAAAAACTGGCCCGCAGCCCGAAAAGTGTTTGAAGTGGGCAAGCCGTCGGGCAGGCGGTATTTTAAAAAAAATAATTCAAAAATCGGTATCGTCTGTCCGGTCGAATTGGAATTTTACATCAGTTACATTTCAGGAGAAGATGCCCTGCAGCTGGCTATTAAAGCTGGAAATTTGTTCCTCGCTGAACTGATTTTAGAAAAATTGCTTGTGCAGGATCCAACACTCCAATCACTTGATGTGCAGTCAAGCACCAAAAACAAGGAATACGGGTTCCTACATGCGCTTATTGCACTGCCTTTTCAGGTAATAAGTTGTTTTGACCAGCAGAGCAATAATTTCTAATTTTATGTGAAAAAAGTAGAAGAAACAAGAAATTGTTTAAAAAAAACACGTTTGAAGCAGCCAACATCGTTAATGCGCTAGTCACATAGTAATTTACAATATTTCAATCTTTCATGTGAATTTTTCCTTGTTTGAAAATTCTGTGATTTTTTTGTTCCTTATCAGTAGTTTTCGTAAAGCATGATTTCGCTTTTTGACGTAACTTTCAAAGAATCCATCAGTTAGTTTTGCTGCAATTCTTTCTTCTGTCACAATCACCAGAAAGCAGATTTTCCGAAATTTTACTTTTGCTAAATTCAGCTCAGCAATGTTTGATGAGCTAGGTAATCACTGTTTTTAATATTAGTATTGTTGTACAGCAACGAATAAGTTACTATTGCTATTCAGAAATTCTGCAGGAATTTATATTTGGCAGAGTTTTATATTAAAAAAAAAAAAAATGAAAAAATCTCTAGTTTCATTGCATATTGTTATGGTTGATGGGTGCAAAATTAATAAATATCTGGAAGAAAGTGATCTTTTGTTTAAGATTCTTGTGCGTACCCATTAATTCAATAGATTTGGGCGCTTATGTATCAATTCTGATGTTTTACTGCTTTCGATCATGAGTTATTCATTCAGGTGTATAACGATAGATTCATGTGGGCTCGTAAATATGGCCCTGCGGGTGGCCAATACAACATCATACCGTTTCTGGACAAATTGATTTCTCTTAATCCTGAACGCATTCGGCAGTGGTTGTGGCATAAGGATGCGAACGGTCAAACATCCTTGACATTTCTTTGCCGACGCTATGCAGAAATCCAAAGGGAGAATCGTGGAGGCTCCCAAAATGAAGTTTGTGCTTTTTATTGTGATTGTAAGCGCATAATTTTCAATCGGCTGCATTCGACATGTAAAAGTATCTTAATAATATCATCAACAGAAAATTCTACGCAAATAGTTCCGGTGGTTTTGGTATTACAACGTTAATAGCTTTTAGATGTTATTATTTCCTTCACGGCTTTTTTGTTTGACTGAGGAAAATTACCGGTGTAATGACGCGATAGTATGCATACTAAAACAGGCCAATTTTAGAGATCGCTAAAGGAGTTCCTAAGCACGATGTGTGCGGTTGTACGGCATCTTGCTCGCTTGGACCCAAAAATATTATTGCAAAATGCTGATACTGATGACCTCGATGATTATTCTCCGACCGACCGTAAAGCTGATGCTGCCAGTGATGAGGACAGTGGCTCAGGTGATACAAATGAAGCGGAGAATTTGCGTGTTTTCGCGCAGGAAGAGGTTTTTTAATGCTTAATTTTGCTTTTGTACGTTGATTGACTCTCATTTTATCGTATCGTCCGTCTTCACATAATTGCTGTGACCGAAGGCTTCTATGTGACCCTTCAGGGCGCTTAATAGCGATCCATTTATGCCTTCTCATAACTGTAATCAGCGTTTAAATATCTCTGCGGCAGAAGTTAATCGCATAGGAATTTGCAAAGACACAGAACTTTGGGTGTGGGAATTACACCAGAACGTTTTAATTTGATTCGAGTGAAAATCATCTTTTACTAAAATATTAATTTCAGGAGACAAAGTCATTGAGGAAATTCAGCGTTTTAAGATATGCGCTTGAAGCAGATGGCAGCTTTTCAAGTCCAGTTACCAGCATTGTCGTTGGTTCGGAAACTTATCATATTACCAATAAACTGCTGATGACTGTTGTTGAGGCTGCCAAGGAATACCGCATTCTTCACGTGAATCATCATTTTTTTTTTTTTTTTTTTTTTTTTTTTTTTTTTTTT